TTGTTTCATTTAGTGGTAGTAGTTGCATGAAACACCATCACTTTCAACTGATGCATTCGTGATGAGTCAAGTATCCCACGTTCCTTTGTGGTCTTTACTTGTTCCATTGGCTTTAGGTAACCTCTTCTGGTTAGACTTTCCTTCCTTTCATAGCATCGTGTCCTCCAAAATTACAGGGATTCTTCTCATCGTGGGTTGGCATCTGATATAACACACACACACACACACACACACACACACACACACACACACACACACACATATATGTATGAATATATATACATCCACGATTTAAATCATTACCTATCTTCCTTTTCCTTTGCGACCCACATTTCTTCGACTTTGGTAACTTCCTTCAACCAAACTTCCCTTTATGGTCATAGACTCCATGATGCCATGAACTCCTAAATTTCAGCGTCCTTCTCATCGTGGGTCGGTATCCTCAATTCCTGTAACTTCCCTTCTTCAGTCCTTCCTTCTCGTTTCAGAGTTTATGGCGTCGTGGCTTATAGACTTTAGCGGTTTTCTCATCGTGGGTTTAATTTGATATATATATATATATATATATATAGATTAAACCCCTATGCCTTGCTTAATTTTAGCAATGAAGTTTGACTAGGTTTAGACAACCCGCTGAAGTTTCCTAAAAAGAAGGAGAAAATATAGCATCCACGTTCTCCTTTTCTGGCTTGGTTAACTTTGCAAATTTTGGTAAGTCTTTAGCTCTTCAAGGGTTTTGAAGATACGTGATTTGCCCACAAAATTCACCCATTAATTCTTTAAAAGAAATAATATCTTATGGTAAGTTCCATAGAACTCGCTATGTGTCCAGAGCCAATTGGTTGAATTTATCTTGAATAATTGCATGAGATTGCATTCATGGTAGTAACTATGCTACCTTTCCATCCTTTTAGGACATTGCATTTAAAGTTGGTAAGTCTTACTACTTTCTTTTAATTAACAATTCCACGTGGTGGACCAATAATTCTTTGTTTTCGAATGAAACCACGTAATTTTAATATTTCAAAGGAAATTCTACCAGAAGTGCAATCTGGTGTGGCCAGTTCCATTGGAACTCGCCACATACTTCCTTCTTATTGGTGGGCAACACAAAATCAAACTTTAATAGTTCCATAATATGCCTCCTCTTTTGGACATTCAAAGTGCCAATCCATTGTGGCAAGTTCATTGGAACTCGCCGCATATCATCTTTTCAATGGCCAAAAATAATGGAGTGAACACATACATCCTGTGCATATATATTGACATAATTAACATGCATATTTTAATTCAGAATTGTTTGGGCATGAGGAATAATTTGTCCTGTTAGCATTGAGACAAATATATATATATATATATATATATATATGAAATTGTACATACATGTAAACCAAGCCGCAATGGTTAATAAAATTAATAACATTTTAATGACAGATAATAGTAAGTGTATATATGGATGGAAAACAACTAGACAAGCTCAAAACATACCACATCACTCAAATTGTCACGTGTTGTACAGTGCAAACCTTTTGGATTGAGAGTGGTGCCGTTTGAATAAGCTGGCCATACCCCATGCACTGTGAATTTGTGTGGCAATTTATTTATGCATGTCACATTATAATGTTTATAAAACATGCAGAACGTTTGCGGCCATTGTTGAACCAATTGGCCGGAGATGATGATAAGAAACCTTGCCTCCAAAATCTGAAACAGACATCCACGAATAAAAAAGGCGAAAAAGAGACGGTGAAACAATAAGGAGAGGGACGAGGAGAATGACATATAAATAAAAAGGTTTTCATTTTGGGGTGAGGTGCAAGTATGGCTATGTGTTCAAATTATTTATAACGGCCAAAAGTTATATAAGATTGGTGTTACAAGGGGAGATTTGTCTCACATAGGATCCAGATGGGAGAGTAATTAGATATAAATGGGTGGGTATATATATAGCACTACCCAATAGTTTAAACTTTTGGGTAAATGGGTAAGCGAGGTATTAGAGCCAAATCAGTCCTTAATTTGGTGCCACACCAAGTGGCCAGCCTAGAAGGCATCTGGGTGAGTCACTCGGGTAGGAAGGGTGGCCTGACTATAATGAGGGCGGCTTGGAAGGAGTTTGGGTGAGTCACCCGCGTAAGCAGGGTAGCCCGATCGCAACGAGGGCGGCCCGAAAGGAGTTTGGATGAGTCACCTGGGTAGGGATGGCAAAATCCCCATACCCGGCGGGTCCCCACCCCACCCCGCCCTGTTTATGGCGGATTTGGGGACCCATTTATATAAATGGGGAGGGGATGGGGATTGCATTTGAAACCCCGGCGGGGGATGGGGCGAGGGTGGAGAAGGGTAACCGCGCCCCACCCCGCCTCATTTATAGTGCATTTTTATAAAATTGCCCTTACATGTTATAAAATATTACTAAATTATATAACTATATATATATATATATATATATATATATATATATATATAATATATATATTCACTTCTAAAAATGAAACCCTATATCTATTCCCTCGCAGCATAGAGAAAAAACATAGTCATTGTGCATCAAACATCTGATCATGTTTTAAATTATTATAATTGTGCTGAAACTTTATTAAATTATTAGGTTGAAAAATATTATGGTTGTGTTGATTTTGTTGAAGGTGAATTGGAATTTAAAAAATATTATGCGGGGCGGGGACGAGTGCTAATGTGGCGGGGTGGGGCGAGGATGGGGGAGGGGGTTCAAAATTAAACTGGTATGGGGGCGGGGATGGGGGTGAAAAATTTGACCGAGGATGGGGATGGGGAATGAGATCCCCGCCCCACTCCGCACCATTGCCATCCCTACACCCGGGTAGGCAGGGTGGCCCCATCGCAACTAAGTCATTGGGAAAAATGTTACAAAGGGAGATTTGTCCCACATCAAATTCGGATGGGAGAGTGATTGGGTATAAATGGGTGGGTATGTAGCACTACTTAACAATTTTTAAACTTTTGGATAAATGGGTAAGCGCCCACCCGTTACAGCTGGTACCCTCCGTACAACATGTATTTTTTAGCAATTAATATATAGTAATCCATACAACTTGTATTTTTCGGCAATTAAATAGAAGCAAACTGTGGGATTCATCATGAAAATATTGTTACTACTAGGCTCTAGACAATATTGGGTGAGTCGAGTATATATGCACACCAACTAAAATATATCATTAATTTGATAAAATTAGTTAGACGTATTGATAGAAACTGTTTTCAACAATATGTTATAATCTATTCTCATTATTAGTTGACTCACAATCCCTAATTTCTTATCAGCCAATGCGAAAACTCCTTTTGTTGTTTTCTATCTTAAAATAGACAGCTCTAGAATTGAAAAACATAATTTGCCATCTTATAAAATATAAACATCTAGTGATCTTGAAGTCCTCTAAATTAAATATTAAAAAGAAAAAAAAAAAAATAGGTATAGGTAAATAGAGTTTATTGGAATTTCTTTTTTAAACGCCTTGAGTTTTCTAACACTAGTAGAGTCATTTTATATAAATAATGACAAAGGTTGAGCATGTATAAATTCACCATTAGATTGATATATGGTATAAATGACACACACCCACATATATATATATATATATATATATATATATATCTTTATATTCCTTTTTGTGGTGTTTGTCCAAAACCACTCTGAAGAGATCTTTAATAACTTTATGTAAAATTAATAGAGGGCTATGTAAAATATGTCCACCCCAGGGGCATAGCGGTATTGGTAGAGATTCGGGAGGTAAATCCTTGAGATATCGCTTTCGAATCACACTACTGACTTGAATAGTGCGTATGTAGTGGGGCCGATACACGTGTTCTAAGAGGAAAAAAAAATGTAAAATCTGTCTTTTTCTAATTTTTTATTAATAGGTGTGGTGATATTACTTTTGGCACAAAATGTATTAATGTTTCGTACTAATATATATATATATATATATATTTCCTTATAGTACGTGTATCGTTCTCACAATATATGTTTAAGTTAGTAATGCGATTCGAAAGCAAGACCTCGATCAAGGACTTACCTTCTGAATCCCCAGTCAACACCACTATGCCTCTAAATACTTTCGTCTATAATATTTGATTAGTTCATATTCTGCATGCACATCTGTCTGATTAAAAGCCTTTTTTTTTTTTTTTTTTTTTGAAGTTTATGCAAATTGTATAAATGTAAGGTTATTGCAGCGGGCTTTATCTTGGGCTGAAAAGCAAGGCCCAATACGAATTGGCGGAGCCATGATAGGCCCAGTGGGGATAATTGCTCCCACTGGACTTTTCCATTTTTAGTAATTTTCTTATTTAAATTTTAATTATTCTAGAAATGGGATATGAACCCCTAAAAATGCCACAAAAAAAACTTTAATTTAATAAAAAGTAGTGGACGCCTAAAAGTAGTACAGCAAAAAAATGCGGATATAAAACCCCTAAAAGTAGTGGACGCTACCAATCACAAACGTAGTGGACCAACCAAATTGTGCACTATCACTGGTTTTAATTTACTAAAAAGAATTCAACACGTGAAACAAAAACTTCAGTGCATTAGTTTTAAAAAGAAAAGAAGAAATAATAATAACAGTAAAAAAGCCAACAACAAAAACGCAGTGGAACTACCAAAATAACGACTTGACTCACGTGAAACAAACATTTCGTCTTCAAAGTTTACTTCCAGCACCAAAGACCACACTCCACAGGGCATTCACATTAGTATTTTCTACAAATTCTTCACCTGTGAACTACATTTTCATACTTATTAAACCCGAGTGGAAGCATGAAGCTTCGCAGAAGTGTCTGGGCTTGACTCCCTTTGCCTGTGTCCCGTGTGGACCCTAATTACAAGTCTCCCCAGCTTTGATCCTAGCCTTTGCTATATATATATATATATATATATATATATATATATATATATATATATATATATTCTATATACATCCACCAAATGCATCCATCCATTGATCCATTCGTGAAAAATAAGCATGGATTCCTTCAAATATTGTGTAGTTGTAGTAGTTTGGATAGCAACTAATATTATCTTAAACGCAGCACCTATTATATCTTCATCAACAGAGGAGGCAGAGGCTCTTCTCCGCACTGGTTGGTGGGGGAAAACCATTCCAGTTGACAATTCCACAAGTCACTGTGAGTGGTATGGAATATCTTGCAATAAGCTTGGAAATGTCATTGGGATAGACATTTCTTGGTACTACCTGGGGGAAGAGCTGGAGAAATTGAACATGTCTTCCTTTCCAAACTTAGTAAATCTCGATCTCAGCAACTGTGGGCTCAATGGAAGCATCCCGCGTGAAATCGGAAGGTTGTCAAAACTCAAATACCTTCTACTTCCTGCCAATCGTCTTACAGGTACACTACCTCTTTCTCTTGCTAACCTCACCCAAATAGTTGAGCTCGACATTTCTGGCAATAGTATTAGTGGCTCTATCCCCTCAACAATTGTGTCTTCTTTCCCAAACTTAGTAAGTCTCAATCTCAGTCGTTGTGGGTTCAATGGAGGCATCCCATATGAAATCGGAAGGTTGTCGAAACTCAATTACCTTCAACTTTCTTACAATGAGCTTACAGGTATGCTGCCTCTTTCCATGGCTAATCTCACCCAACTACTCGAGCTTGACATTTCTCACAATTCTATCAGCGGCTCTATCTCCACAGAAATTGGAAGGATGTGGAAGCTTACCTCTCTCCAAATTTCTTACAATTATCTTACAGGTAAGCTGCCTCCTTTCATTGGTAAGATCACCCAGCTATCCATCCTTGACATTTCTTCCAATCATATCAGTGGCTCTATCCCCCCGGAAATAAGAAATCTTGAAAATCTAGAGTACTTGTACCTAAGTGGTAACAATTTCACTGGTCCCATTTTTTCATATATTGCTAATCTCACCAGGCTACAATCTATATACCTTAACTCAAATCATTTTGACGGTTCCATCCCACCTACCATTGCTAATTTGACTAATCTTGTTGATCTAAACCTTGCTAGTAACAACTTTACCGGTGAGATCCCTTCATCTCTTGGTCTTTTGGCCAACTTTGACTCTTCTTGACTTGTCTGCGAATCGATTTCTTGGTTGGATACCTCCTGAGCTTGGCCAACTATCCACACTTTCTCTCCTTGATATATCCTCAAACCAAATCTCTGGTCATTTAACAAGTGAAGTTGGAAATCTCTCCGGGCTCTACTCTCTAGACCTTTCCCAAAATTTGTTAAATGGAACCATACCAACAGAGATAGGGAATTTGAAATGTGTAGATCATTTGAATCTGTCCTATAACAAGATATATGGTGCCATACCTCCTGAGCTTGGTCAGTTATCCGCACTTGCTGTCCTTGATATATCCTCAAACCAACTTTCAAGTCTGTTAACAAGTGAAGTTGGACAACTCTCCCGGCTTTACTATCTAGACCTTTCCCAAAATTTGTTAAATAGAACCATACCAACAGAGATAGGGAATTTGAAAGGCCTAATTCATTTGAATCTGTCCTATAACAAGATATACGGTGCCATACCTCCTGAGCTTGGACAACTCTCCATGCTTCGCTTTCTAGACCTTTCCCAAAATTTGTTGAGAGGAATAATTCCGGTGGAGATTAATAATCTTTTTACGCTGCAATATCTGAACCTTAGTCATAACTTCATCAGCGGCCTAGTGATAACAATTCGACCAGATCATATTGTGAATTTTGAATACTTGGATCTCTCTCACAATCATCTCTCTGGCACTATTCCCATTTCGTTTAGCTCTACCAATAATTGGCAGTCCATTGACTTGTCATACAATGATTTGAAGGGAGAAATCCCACAAGGTTTTCAATTTCGAAGCAACTCATTCCAGGAATTAAGGGGAAATAAAGGTTTATGTGGTTCAGTCGAAGGTTTCCCTCCTTGTACATATTCTCCGAACAGAAGCAGAAACAGATTCGTGTACTTGGGCACCATTTTGCTCGTCGTCATCATTTCCCTTGCCTTCTTAATCCTTGGAACTGTTTTCTTTTGCTGTAAAAAGGATAGAAAAAATACGAAATTTGAAGAAAGATCAATCAAGAAGGGAAATCTGTTCTCAGTGTGGAATTATGATGGACGCATTGTGTATGAAGATATAATTAAAGCAACTGACAACTTCGACATTAGAAACTGCGTAGGGACTGGTGGTCATGGTAGTGTTTACAAGGCACAACTGCCGAGTGGTGAAGTTGTTGCATTGAAGAAACTTCATAGGCTGGAAGCCGAGGAACCAGCTTTCGATAGGAGTTTTAAAAATGAGGTGCAAATGTTAACAAAAATAAGGCATCGGAACATAATTAAGCTTTATGGATTTTGTTTGCACAACCGTTGCATGTTCCTAATTTACGAGTACATGGAAAGAGGCAACTTATTCTGTGCCCTAAGATATGATGATGAAGCAGTGGAATTGAATTGGACCACGAGGGTGAACATTATTAAAGGCATTGCACATGCTTTGTCTTACATGCATTATGATTGCAATCCACCAATTGTTCACCGTGACATATCAAGCAGCAACATCCTGTTGGACTCAGAATCGGAGGCATTTGTCTCTGATTTTGGCACTGCTAGATGGCTATATCCCAATTCATCAAACCAAACTGTACTTGCAGGCACTTTTGGATATATCGCCCCAGGTGAACTATTCTTCATATGAAATTCTTGAACTATTTTTTTTTTTTTTTTTCGTTTTCTTTCCAAAAACTACAGGTCCATAAACAATATTCTAACAGTTGATTAATTATCTTTATTGTTTAAATAGAACTTGCCTACACCATGGAAGTGAATGAAAAGTGCGATGTTTATAGCTTTGGGGTTGTGGCCCTAGAAACACTCATGGGAAGGCATCCGGGAGAACTTCTCCAATCACTTGCATCAGAATCTACTCAAAATATAATGCTAAATGATGTGTTAGATGCGCGCCTCCCAGCTCTAGAGCATGGAATTATTGCACAGGATGTTGTTCTGGCTGCTAGCTTGACATTTTCTTGTTTGCGTTCTGAACCAAAGTCTCGTCCAACAATGCTACGCGTCTCTCAAGAGTTTCTTGCTTGCAAATATTCACCAACTAGACCTCTACGGAAAATTTCACTTGGGCAGTTGATGAATCAAGATATATATTTGATCAAATAATCCTATAATCTTTGTAATAGTGACTACAAAATGCATAATAATAGAGTTCGTTTCTTCCTTGTTGGATTTCGAATCCTTGGCTAGTTATTGGACTTCATACATTTCTATTACAATGTCTATTAAATCAAGATCTTCATAGTTTCAATTGATTCATTAAATTTGATGCATCTGAATAGTTCCTTAAAAAGAAATAGAGGAAAAAAGATTATGAGGACAAAAACATTTAATAAAACTTTGAAGGCTTGTGACAGAGTTATGCATCGAGTATGGCATTAATGGTAGTGTGTGTGTGCGCGCGCGTATATATATATATTTGTATATATGGAACATGATAGGTGTTACGTGCTGAATGTTATACATTTTAGCCCCTTTACTTGCATGTTTTATTCTTTTTGTAGTAGTTTATTTGTAATTTTACATTGTTTTATTGTTTTTATTTATTTCAGGGCTTTAATTGTAATATCAGTCAAGATCAGTGATTTTGAGTTTTAAAAAATGACATCCGTGGGACTGAGCAATGATGAAGATTCAAGTGTAATTAAACTTTCTATTGGCAGCTATCACTATCCTGCCATATCCGTCTTTCTTGTTCTGCCACATGTTTCCAGCGTGTTGGAATCTCTTTTCCTTCCAAGTTTGACATGGATGGTTCAGTATTGGACCATTATTTAGTCCACTTGTCTTCTTTTTACTGCACCATGTCATCATTGAAGTGGCTGACCATTAGCCTTCCACTTTTATGTGTTAATAGTGTGTCGGTTATATAATAGTTTAGATGATTTTTAATGTGGACAACTTTTCCAGGTAACTACTATACATGAAACTTCTCATTTTTGTAGGGCCAAACATTATGCTTATGCGTCAATGGATTTCTGGAAAATTTACCGTATGGTGTGGACTGACTTGAGCTTGACTTGTCTAGATGGCATGGCAATGGACCAAGGGGAGGTCCCCAACAATAAACCATTTTTTCCATAATCCATTAATTTCTATAGTTTCCAATAAAGTTTCTATATTCAAATAGAGTAATGCTATTCAACGGATATATAATTTTGATGTTTAATTGATGGAGAAAAATAAAATTAGCAAACAAAAAAGAGTTTTTCTTGTTATATTCTTCCTTCACTTTTTTTTCTTTCAAAAACAAAAGTTTTCATGTGGTGCTAATTAGGTAGTAAATTCCTGAAAACATGGTTCTGATTTCTATCCAAAATACTCGTAGAACAAAACAATTGTTTTGGTTTTCATTAAAAATATAATACCTAAAACATATCACATGCCAAACGGACCTCAAGTAAAAGAGAATAATTAGGCCCATGGAGTCGGACGCCATGGAAGACATTTAATTCTTTTGTTCGTTACTCCATTATTTCTGGTAGCCTACACATTTATTGTAGTTCTAGTAAATCAAACAATTTCAACTATAATGGAACACATTTGTCAATCATAACAAACTTCATGTTGGAGGAAAATAATAATAAGATTATGGTTTTTATTAGGAAAATTTTATTAACGTACATCCTGTGCATATATTTTGACATAATTAAAATGCATATATTTATTCCGAATTGTCTGGGCATGAGGTATAATTTGTCCCGTTAGCATTGAGACAAATCTATATATGAAACTGTACATAAGTGTTGTTGGGAAATTTGCACGTATTTATATTATCAATATAATAATAATAATAATAATAATAATAATAATAATAATGGGACTAAATAATATAATAATACTTAAATAATATTCATAATATACAATAATGATACTTTAATAGTATTTATAATTTTTATTAAATAGTAGTAACAGTCCCCACCTATTTGATAAAAATCAAATAATAGAAAATATATGATAAAAATAAAATCATAGAAAATATTTATAAATAGAATTGGGCAACCTTTAATACTATGCAAAGGGTGTAAGATTCTTTTGGACTTGAACTTGCACTTAGTGAGACAGTTTTCTTTTGAGGAATCGGAGAGGCTATGTTTTGAACTCGATCACTCGAACCAAATTTTAACATGTCAGACTCATAGTACTGACTTTAGACTTGGTACACGGGTTAGCGCTATTCAAGGAAGGAACTAGTAATGGGCTAACCTGGATTATAGCCCAGGTTCAATTGAAAAAAAAATAAAATAGTAATATTGTTCCTATAAGCCCATGTACTATTCTTCCTCTTTCTATTAGCCTAACCCAATCCATAGTATTTCTATAAATTAAGAGAGTTATCAAATTTACAAAGGCCAAGCCTATAAATATGAGCAAGCCTACGAACCATAGATAGGCCCAATCACAAAAGAAACCGTAATAAAACATAACAGGGCCGACTCAGTACGTAAATCAAACACATTGTTAGTTTATGGAAGAAGACCTAAACTCTTCGTGTGTAAGGCACTAAGGCATAGGTGGATGGATATCATGAATTATTATTGTTAATCCAGTGAAATATTGATTTTTATTTTTGTGAAAAAAAAGGGCTTTGTTGATGACTTGATGATTTCTTATTAAATTGGGTAATTTACTATATAATGGATTAATAACTAGTCGGGGGTGGAGCACATATGTCTGACTTTCTAATGTGAATCTATTGATAAGGAACATATATATCTTGCATTTTTGTAGGTGTTTGTTTTAATACTTGTACGAAGCAGACTTCAGTGGATTCTTGACTGTGAAGATACGTTAGAGTTTAGAAGTGTAAATGTGTTAAAAGATTGTAGATTATTGGGTTTAATTGAATAATTGATTTATGAGAATTCTGTATTGAGAGTATGAATGACACACTAAATAATCATGGGTTTAATTATTTTTAACCCCCTTACTTTGCAATCCTGGTTCCGCCCCTGGTGCTATTGATGGCCATGCGCTAGTATCTTGCTTCTCATGAGAGTTTTCGGGAACAGCCAAATTCCCAAAGTTGCTTCCCCACGACGCTCTCACTTAGGTGAATCCTCAAAGAGTATGTATATTGAACCTATACCCTACGAGAGTTTGCCTGCCTCGAATTCATTTAGGGTACGTCAAACCCTTCTTGATGTCACACTAAATAACATTGTGCTAGGGATGGGTATGAGTGAATCTTCATTAGAAACCTCTAAAATAGAGTGTTGAATATGAGTTCAAAAATGCGAATTGTTTCTATCCGTTGAACCTTCTTCATGGAATCTCATCACAAGGACGGGTTACTTCCGAAGGTGACTCCCTTAAGGGCTTAACCCATCCCCCTTTGACATTGCTTTCTAAGACTCAGCTCCAAAAAGTTAGAAGACTCTTGGTCTTTTTTTTTCTTACATAACCCAACACTAGGGTTTATTCTTCTCTCTTCTTCACAATCCACTCTTGTGTCTAGTCTTTCTTTTCTTTTTCTTTCATTCTCAGTATTTTTTTTCTCCATTTTCTTTTCCACTTTTTTTTTTATTTTTCACCCCACCACTTATTTTCTCTATTATTTTTCTTTTTTCTCTCCTTTTTTTTTTTCTTCCACAAAATAATTCCTCATTGAAATAATACCTCTTTGAAAAAATTAAGAGATGGATAAATTGTTAGCTTTGTTATTCTATCCGGATAGAATTGTTAGTATATATTTTTGTTGCAATATGAGAGAGAATTAAAACAAGTCACATACACGCGCGTGCACACAAACACACATCGGATGAGAGCATCCGGCTAGACCCTCTCTCCGCCAAACAAAAAAGAGAAATTTTATTAAGTTGACCAATTACAAAATATTACAAAAGTCCAATTACAAAATATTAACACCTTCATTATATATATATATATTTCAATCAGAGCTCCCTCTTTTATTTATTTATTTCTATTTCCACGTGGTTCCATAGGTCTTCAATATAGTAGACTCTCTTTAAACCAAGTTTGAGCCTTTTTTCTTCAAAGTTTGAAGCATTCACTATTTAGCGATTTAATAATTTCCTCACAGATAAACAATTTGTAGTTCTTGAATTCGCATTTCAAAACTCCTTTGCTAGAACTTCAATAATTAATCACATTCAGTCCTCTTCTTGATTCTTCCGCAACGTTACCTTGGACAGATTTGGACTTTTATCCGATCTGGTCGATTGTTAATGATAATGATAACTTGCTTCGAACCCCACCATTAAAGGATGGCAACTGGCTCTGATTCCACCATCATATATAGCCCCATACCATATCATCAGCTACATTTCCTCGAACCATTTTATGTTCTTCTTCAATTGCGGATTTTTTTCTCGAAGTGTTTCACCATTGTACCTCGTAAAAATAAAAACTTACTATGTCAGTTTTCTATAAAGTATTTTCTTCTTTAAACTAAAATAATTTCTATCAAAAAAATAGCAAGCCCAGTTGTAGAAAATCTTACTATACAAATATGAATTAATAAATCACATATATAATCAGAATAATCAAGAATTAATATCATCATAGAAATACAATGAGTATACCATAGGCTATGTTCCTATTATAAATTTATAACAAAGAAATTTTCCCTTTTTTTAAAAAAAATTTAATAAATCGAGCACATTCTATAAATTGAAAACTACCTTGTACAAATCAGCATAAATAATCATATATAGAGATTAACAAATATACTAGTGCTGCTATATAAAGAAATTACTTTGAACCTTAACTTAGGCTACAAAACTTTACACCAAAACGGATCAACAGTATACAGGACGGCTCTTATGCGGTCCAAAACAACGGACAACAGACCAAAACTCAATTAGTCAATTACACTTTATTACTTTATCAGACTTAACCATAGTAAATATTGTTAACTTTAATAGTCAATTTACCATAGTTATCCAATACTTTTATTCAATCTCTCTCCTCCTTAATCTCTCCCATCTTCCTTGAAATCTCAATCACTACCGCCATATCCACCCCATCACAACCACCATTTTTACCACTACAGCCACAACACAACTACTATATATATAGAGATGTCCCACAATAATTCATTCCAGACATAGAAATACCTTAATTTTCTTAAACCAATCATAAGT